TACATTATATCTATATGTTAACTAGAGGTAGTATTTAACTTGTCTATTACTGCATAAACTATAGACCTTTTATATAATAATATTAACACACTTAACACATAAATCTAATAGCAGATAGATAATAGTAAGTGTAGTCTTACTTTTCTACTATTACAGCATAATTATGTAAAGCTGTTTATTTTTATAGATAAATTATTTGCTAATAATAAAAACCTTAGCTTATAGCTAGCATTTTTAATTATATTAAGTAATAAAGACTATATAAAGTAAAGCAACTACTTTAAAATACTAGGTAACATTATACACTAGAATTCTACTAAGTGTAAAAGAGTAACTAAAAGTGTTCTTACTAGCAAACTATATAGAATAGTTAAAAAGTTTAATAATGTAATTACTTTTAGTATAACTTTATAGTAAATTATATAAACACTTAAACTACTAACGTACTTTATAGGCAAGTTGCTTACACACCTAAGTTGCTTACTTTTGCTAAGACTCTACTAAACTACTCTTTCTACACTAATGCATTCCCCACAACACTACTTAGACGCGCTAAAAGAATGTTAGATATAGCTTACACTCTAAGCTTTTAAATAAGACATAAAACTTTTAAAAAAATGTGCTATAGCTATGTATAAAGTTCTATAAAAAATAATAAATAACTATAGCACTAGATAACCTTTACAAGCTAATTCTACAGCTAAATTATAAAGGCTAGGCAATAAAAAGAAGCAGGTAATTGTTAAGACTAAACTTAAGCTATATGCACAAGGAATTTCCCCTTAGATAGCATTTATAGCTAATATAGCTAATTTTTTGCGCGCTAAGTGTAATCTAGGCTATGTTTATATAAACTAGCCTAGTATATTTATAAAGCGTTATTTAGAGCTTAAAGTAACATTTAAGTGTAAGTATAACTATAAGAAAGCTTTTTATAAGAGTTCTAGGGTAATTTAAAGCAGGTTTAGCCTTGTAGAGAATATTAAAGCTAAGTATAGCATCTAGGATAATAACACATACAACTTTAGTAAGATAGAGTTTATAATTAGCTAAGTATCTCTTAACTATACTTACACTTAAAACTTTACTTTAAGCTTTAAATAACGCTTTACAAACATACTAGGCTAGTTTATGTAAACATAGCCTAGATTATGCTTAGCGCGTAAAGAATTAGCTATATTAGCTATAAATGCTATCTAAGGGGAAATTCCTTGCGCATATAGCTTAAGTATAGTCTTAATAATTACCTGCTTCTTTTTATTACCTAGCCTCTGTAATTTAGCTGTAGAATTAGCTTGTAAAGGTTGTCTAGCACTATAGTTATTTATTATTTTTTATAAGACTTTATACATAGCTATAGCATATTTTTTTAAGAGTTTTATGTTTTATTTAAAAGCTTAGAGCGTAAGCTGTATCTAACATTCTTTTAGCATGTCTAAGTAGTGTTGTGGGGAATGCATTAGTGTAGAAAAGGTAGTTTAGTAGGGTCTTAGCAAAAGTAAGCAACTTAGGTGTGTGAGCAACTCGCCTATAAAGTACGTTACTAATCTTAGTAGTAATCTACATAGATTTAAGGTTTTTATATAATTACCTTATTAAGCTAGGCACTACTAGTAAAAAGTAACTTATAATTAACATTATGTTACTTTATAAATTATATAAAAAAAGGAAAATTACTAAAATAAAGTAAATTAATAGTAAAAACAACTTAGTAGATATATATATAAAGAAAACACTAAACTAGGCTTTTTAATTATTAGTTCTAACTAACTGCCTCTTTGTCTAGATAAAAGCATCTGTAGACTAGCTAGATCTTATGCGTAGAGATGCTTTAGACTAACTAGACTAATAACGCCTTTATATAAAGCTTATTTTTTTATTTTTTTTATTATACACACTTATTTTTCTTATTATAAAATTAAAAAAAAAGAATATATAAAAAAAATAGTTTATTTATCTAATATATAGAAAAAGAAAAACACACTACTTCTTATGTATAGTAGTTACAATGCAGACTACAGCTCTGCTATACACATAAGGCGTAGGCATTAGCCTAAAAGTTAGCTAGCATATAATACTTAATAAAAAAAAAGGCACTAGTAGTGCTGCTATAATAATAAGTACATAAAGTTACTAAGACTTAACTATAACTCTAGACTAAAACTACATAGAAGTACTTTTTATAACACATAACTTTTGCTGCCTATAGCTGCAGATTAGTGCTAGTAAGTAAAATAACATTAATATTATAAAATAGTAAAGCTACTATATGCTACTTCTTAGCTTATCTATAATTAGCATTTTATATAAGAAAAAAGTAGAAAAGCTAAAAAATTTATATATTTATACTAAAATGCTAAATAAACTACTAATTAGTAGTAAAACTAGTTAAAAAAGTAACATAAATGCGCCCTAGGCTGCTAGACTGCACAAGGACGTTAAAAACGCCCACACTAACAGCGCTAGAGGTAGAGGAGGAAGGCTAGAGAGACATCTCTCTCTGTGTGTGTGTGTGTGTGTGTGTGCAGGCAGGAGTATCTGTTACTGTTAGCACTATATAAAAAGAGAAAAAAGCTAGAGAATTATATAGTAAGGCTTAAAAAGTAAAAAATAAAAAAAAGAAAGTAAAAAAAAAAAAAAACCTTATTATATACATCTCTCTACGCACCTGCCTACGCAAAGATTTTACACTATTCTAGTATAAAACCTTACATAAAATAGTTTATATACTACTAAATTACTTATAAAGTAAGTGTATAAAGGCTAGATAATAATAGCCTAAAACACTTTATACTATTTATAAAGCTATTTACATAGTGTAACTAGCCTATCTTAATATACAGCATTACTAAGGTAAGTTTTAATAAATAAAGTAAAGTAAAAGTAAAACATAATTAAATAAACCTATATAGACAAAAGGAAGGTAACACATATAAAAGGCAACTTTTTAGACAAAAAGAAAAGTTGCTAGTGTTTGTACATAGTAGTAGTATTATAGTTTAAATATAAGTAATTGCGCATAAGCAGAACTACATATCTATGTTATATAATACTTATGTGTAAACCTTTATGCATAAATATCTAAATATCCTCTTTTTTCTCTATATAAAGGAAAGATAAAAGTAATAGAACTAGAAACATGTTACTCTTACTTTACTTACCTTGTACACTGTGCACACTGTACACCACTCTTACTCTTGCTACTTAAGTGCTTATACTATAAGCAGCTAGCTGTCAGAGCCTTTTCAACATAAGGCGCTATGCTATAAAGACTTTAGTAGAACAAGTAGGGTAAACTAGATAAGGCCTGTATAAAGAAAAAAAAAAGTTGCTAGTATCTAAACAGCAGTATTTAAATATGCTGTTAGGCGTTACGTAATATAGTCTTATGTTACAGTTGTACGCACGAACAGATAAATATTCCTTTCCTTTACACAGACTAGAACAACAAGAAGAATTAACAACAGTTACCTGCTACCCCCCCTGCGCAATGTGTACACTGTGCAAACCTCTTTGCTTCGCACGTTCTTGTTAATTACAAATGCTAGCTAGCATAGAGCCTATTTAACAGTATAAGTGTAAATTTAATACTAAAACTTTCTTAACTAAATTTAAAGCTTATCTATGTGTACAAGGCAACCTCGAGGTTACTATAGCTAAAACATATGCTGCTACTCTAGCAGTACACGTCTTTCGGGCGCTTATTGCTATTATAGCCTTATTTAGCCTACTTGTGTAATAATCTAACGCTATTAACACGTTTATTAACGCTTGCTTTCTAACTCTAGCATATTATAAATTGCTACTAGACTACTATTACTTTTTATAAGCTCTCTAACTTCTTTAAGCTTTATATAAGCATTAAAATATACTTAAGCTTTAGTATTTAAAGCTTACTAAGTTACTTTAAAAGCTTAGCTTTTTTTAAGTCTTTAAAAAAAAAAATTTTTACTAATAAAAAGCTTATAGTTTACTTTTATATCAATAGTATTATTATTTTTTACTTACTAAAGTATAAGAAGCACTTAAACTAATTTAAAATTAAGCTTATAAAAATTTATAAAATTTAAGCTATAAAAAAACTAAACTAGTTTCTTAGTATTTAAATTAACTATAATAAAGTTAACTATACTATATAGCTTAGTTAAAAGTTATACATTAAGTAGTTTACTACTTACTTTAATTTTAATACTAGTTATACACACCCTTAGCTAATTACTTTATTAAATGTATTAGCACTACCTTTGTAGCTTAATTAGATAACTAAAATAAATATATAAAGAATTATAGCATACTAGCAGCGCGTTAGCTTTATTAGCTATACTGCTACTACTATTTAACTTAACATTACTAAAGCTTATTTAAAGCTATCTAAATACTAAAAGGCTACTTAGCATATAATTAAGTACTTTTATAGCACTAAAAACTATGCATGTTAGTACTTAAAAACTTTTACTTACTTATTTTAAAAACTTATTTTTATAGTGCATTAGATGCTACTTAGAGTAATAATAAAGCTAGTTACTATAGCTTTTATAGTATACTATTTACACTATTTAGTGTAGCTGTTAATTAGAAGGCCTTTTTACAGCGCTTAGTTACTAAATTAATAACTAAAGTAAAGCTTTTAGCTCTCTTTTACGCTACTAGCTACTTATAGTAGTAGAAGTGATTTTTTATAAATATAAACTTTAACACTAAAAAAAGCTTGCTTTACTATATAATAATTAATAAACTATATAAGCTATAGTAAAAGATTTTAAGCTTAATACTAAGCTTAAGCATATTAATATTTATAACCAGGCTTTATTTACTTAAGTAATACTTTAAAAGCTTACTTTACTAATACTAGCTTTAAAGCTTAAGCTTACTAGCTTTTTTTTTATAGCTATTTTGCGCTTTTAAGTGCACTACTATACACCTGCAGTCTATTTATTTTTATACAGCTTTACTTTAGTATTTACTTTGTTAAAGCTAGGGGGGTGTGTCGCACGTGTCTCATGCAATGTCATACCCATGTACTGCACTATTTACTTATTAGGCATAGCTCCTTTCTCGTACAGTATATAGTCAGCCCAGAGCTCTATCAAGCTCCTTAGACCTTACAATACACTCGTGCAGTCCACTTTGTTTGGATCTCAGTACCTTGTTGATTCGCTTACCATATGACCCCTTCTCAGCTCATGCAGGAGTGTTGTTTCTTGCTAGCTGATCAAGCCTGTTCCATCAATGCATCATGTTGAAAAGATTAGACGTCCTCGCTCGACTGTTTCTGTCGCGTACAGCTATCTGTCTACATATATCCTTCTGCTGTGCTAGCTAGAAGGTTGACCTTTTGGCAAACGCAACAGTTTCTGTTCCAGACCGTCGTTATTTAGGAAGCAGATTCCTTGCTTCTTCTATAGAGATCTCTAAAATCTCGTTCAGACCTTAGTCGTTTCATACTCCAGATGGCCTTCTGGGTGACACTAACGCGAGAGACTGTTGTACAGGGATGGCGAAGCTGGCAGAAAAGAAGTTGGAATACAGCCTGTCGAACGGCGACCTCTACCAGAACTTAATCACTCAACGCAATGTACCGCTACTCGCTCTCTTTGATATCCTCTGTCGGTCCGCACAACTCACAATGCCTAGTATGTTATTTCCAAGATCTAGAGAGGGCATTGAATACAGCGCTCTAATGGCAATGATTACGGAGAATCGGCAGTTAAATAACACGTCTGCTACACCAACTACACTAGGCCATGGACAAGGGCACGGGATAAGCTGCTCACCGGCGTCAATACAGCTTTGCCTGGATCGGCATCTACCAGCGGCTTTGAGGAGTCTAGACGAAGACGAATAAGACATGGGATTTGACCACCGAGACCACTGGCCACTTCTTAAAACACCGAATCTCATCCGATTACACTGCTACGGAGACGAAGCAAGTTTCAACTTGTGGTTTCAGTTGGAAGAAGACGTGGAAGAATATGGCTCTATAGGGCCTGGACTTTTGCGACTCGGTAGAATGCGAATCCCACATAGGGCCAGATGGTAGACTCGCCTCTCTTCCCCAATTCCACCACCTAGAGACACTGCATATTTAACTTCTAACTCTCTTTGGGAGGATTTCCGCTATATCTTGACTTGATGTTGGAGATGTGTTTCCTAGCTCACTGGCCGAACTTACGCTAGATGAGCAGTGGCTCTAAGATGTTGTCGAGACAGAGGAACGTATTAAAATGTACTTGGGGCTGATAGATCCGGAGGATTTCGAAGGCGGTTGGATAATGGGCTGTAGTATAACTAAAGCTAGTTTTTAACACAGTTATAGGAAAGGCATCTTGAAGATGTTGATGCGGTTGTGCGATGCGTCGGTAGAACATCTGCCTTATCTACGGCAAGTGCATTACGTTTCGGACTTTTGGTCGCGAAGAGGATGGGAACGACAGCATTTAGATTAGCTAAACAGTTAGTATAGTCGGATAGCTAATTGACCACAATACTTTATTTGTTATCTACGCTACCTAAGCGTACGATAATCGCTAACCATGTATTATTTAGGTGTAGCGGTGGTAACTCGCAACTATTGTAGAATGTCGGTCGTAGTAGTTCCTAACCTAGGCGTGATTCCTATACTTCCACAGTGTTACTCCCTATTCGAATTAACCCCGAGGGTCTTGTGTGCATGCATACCCAACCTACTTATATCAGATAACTTCGGATTGGGCCTGTACTGTCTCCACCAAATCATCTAAGTCCTTCGGGTCGCGATAAACTGATTGTTCCAACCTTTTGGTAAATTCTGTTGAGTTCACCATGCGCTTCTCAATAGCGGACGCAGCGTTGACTAGGACGTATCCATAGCATCTAGGCTCCTTCTGCCCTCGCCTGTCGATCCTCCCAAACAACTGCTGCATGTCCGAGTACTTGTGACTAGGTTCGATCAAAATGGCATGGTTTGCACGCTGTATGTTTAGTCCTACACCAACAGACCTAAAGGTGCAAAGTATGATCCATTTAGACTCGTCATTGCCGAAAGTTTCTAAGGCCTGGGACTTCTTCGCGTTGTTCATGCCGGTTTCGTAGAGGACAATGGATTCTTTGCCGTACGTCTGAGACAGTTCATTCTTCCATGCGGCTAGCACAAGAGGGTTACGAGTTGCGATTAAGACCTTGCATCGTGTGCCGTCTTGTCTCTTCAGCTTGCGGATAGAATTGCAGATGCCTTTAGCGCATTTAATCTTTGCGTTCTGGCGGAACCCAGAGTTGGCCAAGACCTTAGTAAAGGCAGAACCCAGCGGGTCTCTGACCCAACTTCCGACATGCTCGTCTGCCTTTGAGCAACTCCTTGATTCTTCATCGTCAGGCCCATTATCTGGATGTAGCCCCTCCCAGTGTTCGACAATCTGGGCTACAGATGCTGCCACCCTGGCCGTATGGTAAGATTGCGACTTCACCGAACTAGGCATCTTAGGTTTTTGGTTAGCGTCACTCCCGTTCGATTCCCACACTGCTACGAGTTCTTGGTATTTGCGCCTGCGCTCTGCCTTTACCTTCCCCTCTAGCCGAACAAGGATTTCCGCCTCCGTTGTATTCGCCTGGCACTGGACCATATCGAGATAGAGTTCGCTCGCCTTTGGGATAACTGGTTTGCTGTCAAACCAACGCGTTGATTCCCCTCTTCGAATAAAAAATGTTGGAACTACTTTGCGAATAAATACGACCAGTGTCCGGAATTGAAAGTCATGAGTCGCGAGAGCCGGATTGGTCTTTGCCTTTTCACAGAGACGATCGAAGTCCTTTGCCATCTGGTTGACGCTGTCCTGTGTGAGATTGCGCAGAACACCAAATTCACTATTCGTATCAACATCATCCCATTCTTTGGATCTCAAACCCATCGTGAGGAATTTCAGAGGCTCCATTGGTTTGCCGTTATCGGGTGTACCAGACATACCCCACAGGGCAGGGCTGCGATTATACACCTCTCGGTATTCCCTTGCGGTGTCTTTGATAAATGCTGGGATGGTCTGGCCATAATTGTCTTGGTGGCACTCATCCCAGAAGATACACCCAACCTGCATGAGATTCCTTGTGAACGTCCTAGTAGTGCCTTTTGCCTGTGTTTGCCACTTCCAATGAGTCTCTCGCGTGGTGATATACTTGCTGGCCACGCGACCTACCAAACATCCTCGCGTTGTGACTATATTGACACGGGCGGAGCGACGCGGCGCCTTCTCTGCTGTAGCTTCAGGGTCGCAGGCACGAGGTCCAGAAAACGTAGGGTTGGTCCAGCTTTGGGTTTGCATGGTCTTTCCAACCTGCTTTGTGCGGTTGTCCGTTTCCCATTGCTCTTCCATGGACCAGTCGACGGCCTTGCAAGTAGCCGACACTTCTTCGTCGGTCAATGCGCCGGTGAAGTCGTCCTTGTTGAACTTATCGGCATGGATTGCGACCCGGGGCGGGAACTCACGCTCCATTATTTTGCCGCCTTTTAGCATTAACCTTGCATCATTCTGGAACGAGCGCAAACCAGCATTGGGAGTAAGGGTGATCGTAATACCTCTCTGTGGGCCGAATCGGTAGATATCCCTGTTGCCTGCCTCGCAGGAGCATGCGAGTGGCTGTTTTGCTGCGCTAGGGCATTTGGCGTCAGGTGACTGGCTTTTTGGTAGGTGGGACTTGTCTCCACGCGCTCGTGCGTCCTCTACCTCAATAGTATTCTCATTGTGGAAGTAGTTTATGAGGAAATGGGTAAGGGACTGAATTGTCTTTCCTCCGCCAGGTTCGTCTGCATAAATGCCACCTGGACATGGGGTAGCCCTCTCCCGGTGGAATGCCCAAGTTGCGGATGCTAGCTGGTACGGACTAATTTTAAAGTCAGGATTGAGACCCCAGTTAGGAATCACAATTCCGTCCGACTTTGCGAGGGCTTTGTAGTCAATGAGAGGAAAATATCCTTGGATGAGGTCTAACATGCATCGTTGCACGCGTGCAAGCTCGCCGTCCAAATTAACCAACCCTTCTTGAAAAAGCTGCGCAACAAATTTTTCCTTGTTACGCTCATGCCGCTCCGCCTCGCTAACGTCGTCATCGAACTCATCGGAATCATCCTCAGGATCATGTTCGGACCCGGATAACACGTCGTCTAAATCCTCCATAGGATCGCTTTTTAGGCTGCTGTCCGTGGCAGAGCTGGCGGCTGAGGTGGAATCCATTTCGTCGTCGACCGTAGCCATTTCATTGTAGTTCTTAGCACTAGAGACTAAGCTAGACTCCTCTTCGCTGTCTGAACCCTCTTCGTAGCTGCTGGCGGTGGAGGCTAACCTGGACTCCTCATTTCTATCTAGGAAAACATTATCTTCTCGAATAGAAGGGCTAGGGCCTGAGGTGCTATCCCATGTGCCCTTATGGGTAGACGCTGATCTAGTCCTAGGGCGTTTGGTAGGGCTACGTTCGACACGACCTTGCTCATCCGATAGTGTACGACTCATCGTCCGTTTCGCACGAGAAAACCGGGGCCTTTCCGGACGTTCGTTACTGATATCCTTACTCAAGAAGGGTGTGGTTCTGCGCACTGAGGGTGTTTCTAGTGATATTTGGGCGTCGTGTGATTGTGTTTCAATGCTGGGTTGGGGGCTTGCCCTGGGAGAATGTAAACGTTGCCGCAGGAGCGAACTGGGAGAGTAGGAAGACTCCTTAGGACAATTTTCAATAGTCCCGGTACCAAAAGCTGGCGCGTCCTGACTGAGCTCATTGGGCTGGTTAATGTCGCTCCGATAGCAGTTGTTTGAAGAACGTGAGGGTCGCACCGTGAACTCTACAGCCCGCTCGCCGTTTGTTGCAGACTGGCAAAGGATTGCATTGAATGCGGCATCGCTTCGAACAGCGGCATTCTGATTATTCCAGCTAGCAATGTATGTCGCCTTGCTAAGGTCCGGCAGCTCTTCACATGACTGCAATTGCTTTGTAAGCAACTCCAAAGAAGCGTTTTGTCCCTCCCCAGTTAAGATTTGCTTAACGGAGACCAACTCAACAAAATCCATTGTCTCAATCTTGACCTCAATCAACAAGTCTTCCTTGTGTACAGGTGCGCTGCAGGTTGCATCTTGATTTCTCGGAAGACGTAGAGGAGGACTGTGAAGCGTTTGTGTTACCGATTCCGTCAGTTCGGAGCTATTCTGCGGTTTGAAGGGCGTTGCCTGAGCGCGGCGTTTGGCCTCGGTCGGTGCAGGAACGGTCGAAATCCCCAGCTTTTTCCTCCTAGACGCATTCGAGTGGGCAACTCCAATCAGCCTTTGAACAACGTACTCAAACCAAACCTCTGGGGCGCTGGAGCGTGCGGTGTCAAGTTGTGGCATATTTCTGCAGAATTCCGCCACGACTGCCTTTTTGGCGTGAGTTTTGTTCCCCTTGAAATTTGTGCCCTCTGGTTTCACTTTAAGCGCGACGCGTTCAATGTCCTCTTTTAGGTCGTTGTACGTCTCCATAGTTAGCCCAAGGCCTACAGCATAATCTTCTGCTCTGGTCGGTCTATTGTTCGTGTCGTACCAATCGTGAGGTTTTGCCCACTTGCCGGCCATTGTTGCGTTTCTCGATGTGCTGCGCTCGAGTGAGTAAGTCGAGAGTCTTCTTGAATCAAGAGAAATAGTTGCTGTTTGATGATGAAGAAGGGCCGCGTTGATTTGAGGTCGGAGGACTTGGTTGGCGGAGGAAGGTTAAGGCTGCAATTTGCCGCCACGGCGCAGTGAAAAGGAAAAGTGAAAGGTGAAAAGTGAAAGGTGAAAGTTGTGCGCAACACGGCGGTGTGCCGCAAATTGCGATACGGTGACTACGGGCTGCGGTGTGCATATTGCCTTCGCTTTCGTGGCACTCGGTTCGACCATGGCGCGACTAGATGGCTAATAGGGGCTACCCTATCCAGCCTGCTTTTAGTATAGGCGGGTCGACGGTCCAGCACTGTCAAGCTCTTGCAGTGTTAGATGCGAGCGAAATGTCCGGGAAGGTGTATATGTACCTCTGTTGATCAATGCCTATTCCATAGACACGTAATATGGCATGTGAGCTTCTTAACCAATGAGAAGTAGCACGGAGGGTCGTAACTCATCAGAGTGCTGTAGAAAATGCGACTGCTCACTTTAGTATAACATCATACCACTAATATCTTTATCGCCATCTCCGTAGATCACGATCAAATTCTTCATGTCGTCGGCATCTATATTTAGTCGTTAATTGTAAGATATACATGGTGAGGAGCAACATATTTTACTTTTCTCTGCACAGAAGATCTTTTCTCTCACGTTGTTAGTGTGACAAGTACTCTCTAGCGTTTGCCATAAAGTTCTAACTAGGTAACACACTTGACAAAGTTTGCTTCACCTGTAGGACTATGCATGATGTGCAGCAGGACCGTCGCCCGACCTATACTAAAATGCAGGCTGGGCAGGGTAGTCCCCCATTAAACATATTATAATGGCATTAATTTAATTTCCGCTGGCTTATATTCGGCATGTGTTACTCTCTGACCTGCCTGAAAATTCCCACAGTGCTAAGAATTAACCTGCCAGGATTGTTTTGGTATTCCTTTTTAGCATCTTCACCACTTTCACCACCTTCACCGCCTTTACCAATATTGGCCACGGCTTTTACCCATCTCTACTCCAGGACACCACCCTACCATCTTCTAAACGCGATAGATTTGCTCCACTAGGCGCCGATTGAATCTGCACTGCCTCTTTTCGAAGTGGCTACATAAAACATAATGTCTGTTAGCCCACAACGTGGAGAGGTGAGTACTGAGGGTGAGTGCTTGCGCGACTTTCTTCATAGCGGGATTTGATTGTACTCAGCATTTGTAATAGGTAACAAGTTTGACGTACAGCGTGCCGTTCAAGATGGACCTTCCTATGGACCACTTAATCTCCCAAGACACCTCTATGTAAAGGACTCGACGAAAATTTCGCAAGGAAGCGGCGGTACTCGAGGTCGCCCATACCCGCCAAGCGAAGGATAACCCACCGTCTAGTTTCCTCGGCCTTCTTGAGCTCGGTAGCCTTCATGCGTTCGAGAAAGACGTCCCGAAGTGTCACATCTGCAGCGTGTTTGGTCACATGCGCGCTTTATGTCCCCAGAGAGATGCATGTAGATCTGCCGCAAACGTGGCGAGACCAGCCAACTCAAGCGTGTACGGCCCGTTGGAAGCCCTGGTTATATTGGACTCGTTGTCCGGTGGGCTTTTACAAGGAAGCTGGGGTTGCATTGCGACAGCGGGCACATTTATAGTGTTGGGTAAAAGGGATATCTTAGATGGGGAGTGCTTGAGGATGACGCCATTCAATTGAAACGCGAGATTTTGCGGCGTAGATACGGACGATGCCTCTATCACCCTGGCGTTGAAATTTCGGTAAGTCACCTGGTGTATAATAGATTCCTCGTACATTTCTGAGTCGTGTTTAGACTCCTCCAAGTCGTTTTTGGCCTGCTGAAAGAAGGCCATATTCAGCCCGAAATCTGCAAGGTGTATGGTTTCTCAGACGTGCAGGCTGCGTTCCGATATTTGGGCAGTGGGGAGTCTATTGGTAAAATCGTCATCTCGAGAGTGCATGATCAGGAAGGCTCAGTTGTTCCGGCAAGCAACTTGTGTTAATCTTCGGTTCATCTATTGACCGCTAGGCAGATACTGGCAGCCGCACCTCGTCTCTCACTTCGCTCCGATGCCTCATATCTCATCTTGAGAGGTCTGAAAGGTCTCTGCGGAGGCTTGGCAGTATATGGCACCCATGAAGGAGCCAAAACACCTGTAATACTGTCACGCTCAGGATACAATGATGAAAAATCACGGTTCATCATTTCTAAGATTACATCGCTAGGCTGTCGCCTGGATCTGGTGAAGGGCGATGTCACCAATAAAGCGGACGTGGAGCGAGCCTTCATGGAAGCCTCAGCACCAATTTTTGGAGTTGTGCAGGGAGCAATGGTACTTCGAGTAAGCTGTTCAGCTAACCTGTCTATGGGCCTAAACTAACGGCATCGCAGGATAAACTGTACAGCTCTATGACACACACTGAATTCCATGAAGCAATTATGCCAAAAGTTCAAGGCACTTGGAACTTGCATAACGTCGCTCTTCGACTGGAGATCACGCTTGACTTCTTCACACTTTTGTCGAGCCTCTGTGGCATCGTTGGCCAAAAGAGTCAAAGCAATTACGCCGCAACCAACGCCTTTCTCGACAGTTTCGCACACTATCGCAAATCACTTAAATTAGCAGCATGCTCCGTTGACCTCGGCCTCATCGAAGACGTGGGCTACGTGGAGGGCAAAGAGTCGCTTTTAAGCCGACTTTTGAGTCAAGGCTGGCACCCGATCAACGAAAAATTTCTCTCTAAGATCCTATACATTTCCATCCTCCAGCAGAAGAGTTCAGCTATCAACCCTTCCAGCTCAGCACAGCTTATTTCTGGAATGCCGGTGCCTTTGCCAGAACAATCGCCTGCACAGTGCGATCCTCGATTCAGCACTCTTCGCTATGGTAGTGGCTCGGGAGCGCAACGAGGTTCTTCTCGAAGCGGTGGCGTGCAGTCGGCTATCAATATCCTTCATGATGCGTGGAAAGCACAAGATGAGGGTGGAGATCAGCCCGAGCTTTTGTGCACCCTAATTTCGTTGGCCAACAAGCAGTTCATGAAGAGTCTCGGGATGTCAGAGGAACTGGACCCATTTAGACCAATTTCCGACTATGGTATAGACTCGCGGGTCGCAGTCGGGTTCAAGAACTGGACATCGGTAGATTTAGGAGTAGAGATTGCAACACTAGATGTCATGGGTGCAAAAACGTCGACTTCTGTGTCAGCTCATTTTGAAGCGAGGGTTCCACTATCGTGGTCAAAAGTGATCCTGTTTGAATGAATAGATGAGAGCTATATAAGCTAGAATTACATGAATGGGTTTACTTTCTCTTCGCACCACTCCCAGAACTGCTTCGCCTTTCCCTCATAAATTTCTTTATAAACATCCTCCCGCGAATTGGGCTTTATGACGCCGAATGGCCAAATATAGCAGCCATTCTAGGCCTTGGTAATCTTGTCCGAAAATCCTGCAAACATTAATTGTATACGCACCATATTTGGCTTGATAGAGCACGAAACATCTTAAGAAAAGTACAAACAGCCAATTTTCGCCAGCATAAATGCCGGTGTACAATTTCCCAGGATTCTGGCAAACGGTGATGATTTCCTGGTCTCCCCATCTTACGGCGCCTTCATGTGCGAGGAAGAGATCGCCGCATTTCGACGCTGCGTAGTCGACATACTGCGTGATGGTCTTTCCGCCATTAAGACGTGGAAAGCCAACCCCGCCTATCGGTGCGCTCATTTCGATCTGGACTGATCCTGTCCAGACGATGCGCGACGGCCGGCCGGAGTTCTTTGCCCCAGCTCGAAGAAAAGGCACGAGCAAGCTAGTAAAAAGGAAGGGACCAACTGCATTCGCCCCCATATGCGCTTCAAGGCCCTGTGGGGTCGGTGACCCCGGTACACAGCCCATGGCCGCATTGTTCCATAGGATGTGTAGCTCCTTCTCCTGGGCTGCGAACTTCTTATAGGCTAGCTTCACGGTCTGAAGATCGCTCAAATCGAGCCCATGGAGCGATTTTAGAATCCCCTTGGTACCTAGGGCGGACGCTGCTGACTCGATCTCGGCAATAGCCTCGCTGATTCTCTCCTCGGACCTACTGGCAAGATAGATGGTTGCGCCGGTGGGATACAGGAATTTAGTGAGCTCTTTTCCGATTCCTGAGTTTGCACCCGTGACGATAAATACTTTGCCCACTTGGCTTCCGGGAGGGTCTGCTTCAGTAAAGACGGGTGATCTGGATGGGAAGAATTGCTGCCAGATCGCTCTGAGCGACATTATTACGGTGGCGATTGAAAGACGGAAGCAGAAGTGGGACTCGAATTTGTCGCAGGGAAGCTTCGTGGCGAAGTTGAGGAGAGACACGGCTTACGTGAGCCATTAGAATTGGGCGACATAATCGGAGGTTACTAAATACTGTACTAAGTTACACAATTATGTGGTTGGATGCTGTAAGCCTTACTTTACCTACCGTGCCGCATATCAACACCTTCCTCGACATCGCCGCTAATCAATCCACCACGAACGTGCTGATTGATTCTCCAAGCTGTCGCTATCGCGTTGTGGAAAAAGTGCCGAACATCCAGCGTTCTCTTATCATGGATAGCATTGAAAATGTCGAATTCAAGACGATCGATGGCCTCACGCTGCGCGGACACGTTTATCATTCTGAGGGCTGCGGACTGGGTGTAGTTATGTGTCCTGGGGTGAGACTCTAGAACTTACGGCCCATGGCTTTTCAATTAATATTTTAACAACTCCTCGTTTCAACTGCGTCAAGTGAATGGCCGGCCTGCACAGCGTCGCGAAAGCGTTCCGGGATAATGGGATTACAGCCCTCGTCTATGATCCACGCACAGTCGGAGAAAGCGATGGTCAGCCTCGCACAACATCGACCCTTCCCCACAGATTCAAGATTCCTCTGATGCAATCACGTATATAAGTAAGCTTCCAAATGTGAATGCCAACCAGATAGGTCTCCGGGGGATATCGCCTGCGGGAAGTGTAGCGCTACGTACCGCGCGTTTCGACAAACACGCAAAACGGGCGATCACAGCATGCCCGGTAGCAGAATATTATTACGACAAGAAGATCATGGAAAAAGCTCTACAAAAGTGCATCCAAGACCGCGTTTCGCAAATGATGGGAAATCCGCCACTTTACGTCCCTATGCTGACAGCTTCCGGCACTAATCCGGCGGGTTTGGACGTTGGCTACGAGCGAGAATACGCAGCAGAAATGATGAGGAGGGGTATCCAAGTCGCACCCAGCCACAAAAACCAAACTACTATTCAGTCTTATCATAAACTTGACCCATGGCCAATGTGGAAGCATCTCGGCTCCACGCCGGTACTCTTTTTGGTCCCGGAAACCGACTGATTGTGCCCACCAGAGGTACAAATACGCCACATTGAGTCCTTAGCCGGACCCAAAAAATTGCATGTTCAGAAAGGAAGCGGGCACATGGACATATTTGAGGGAGCGCATGCCGATGAGGTCTTCAGGCTCTCCCTCAATTTTTTATGCAATGTCAACGTTGGGACGACCATCAACGATACCGACTACGACGGAAATAGTACATTTGAGGTCTCATAGCCAACACAAACATCACGAGCTGATTGGAAATGTCAAATCCGCACCCTTCTCTACCAATATCTCTACTTCCTCCTTGTAACCTTGCGTTATTGCTCGGTGAAGTGCGGTGTGCCCTTCATGATCGTACAAATCGATTCGTATGAGGCACTGAACCGTCCCTCTCACATGACGAGAATGAGATGCTTTTCGGAGCCTACGGTAGGCGCCGCAGATCTACGGGGCTGTAAGCAATGTGTTAGTTACAGTAGGAGCCCTGTTTCACTGGTTCACTGCTTCTTGAGGCGAGGAGCTACGCAGAACCGTACTTCAGGTAATCGACAGATCATCAACAGGTCAAGAAAAGGCTGAGAGGAGATAGCGATCCGACCCGACGTGCAGACTAATAGTCGAAAAGGAAGATTCAACAGCTCCAATTGGCCACGTATGGGCTTAGCATAATCCCCATTCCTCGCGCTACAAGGTTATTAATATCCGCGTTCAGAGATCCTGTAATCCACTTTCTGCTCTTAATCCCCAAAAACCCTTGCAATTAACATTTCCGTAATGAGCCTGCGAAAACCTATCAACTCCAACCCGGCAATCCAAGTCAGCCTCGTCTCCTGACAATCGTATTTGTCCGGTTCGATCGAGACATTCTTGTCCAAGATAGGTACTAACCTTTACATCGGGGCCGTCGCTGTGTATGCAGGCTGTAGGAGTATGGAACTGCATCGATGTATCGTATACATTGATGACGAGGAGCTAGCCTCTTAGTTATCGTCTCTAGGTTCCTGAGCCGGGGGCCCTGCCAATGCAGCCCAGTTTTCCTGTCCGTTCTCTCATCAGGGTTATACTCACCGCTAGTCCGTGTGCGAGAAAGGTAGCTAAGACCTGAAGGGCTGCATATTAGCAATTTTGGTGTAACGATTTGGCTGATTTCACGGGGCTTCATACTTTGTATCGTTCAGTGCCTCTGAGAGTATAGACTACCCTCGGTGAATTTGGCATATAGTTAGGTGTAGGATCTACCCCATCTGCATCGTAGCAGTTGTGCTTTTCCTTCAATTAGGCCAAGATAAATGGATGCAGGTGCACGCTGGGATTTGTATTACGTCCACCGGCATGCATCAATGGCGTTGCAGTAATATACAAGAGATGTACATTTACGGATTGCGCCCTCCCTGTCGTCATTAAAAGAAAAACCGTCTGAGGGCCAACGAAAATTCAGCATATGGAAAAGTTAACAGGAAGGGGATAGGGCTGTGCCGCATTATAGGGCTGTGCCGCATGAGGGAATGATAGGGAAAGAGGGTAACCCGTACATGTTTTCCCCCTTATACTGTCGGACCCCGAATTCCTGCAGGGTTCTTCTCCAATCACAGGCTACTCACGACGTCGCCGCTCTTGGGGGTTAAGTATGCTGCGCCAACCCGAATTGCAGAGCGGCCTTTCTCATATTCCCGTTTACCCCATTTACATCTTCGTTGATTGCGTGACTCAGGTCAGCAGCGATACCTTTTACTTTCGCTGAGAGCCCGTGGGGCACGACCTACTTTTCGATATGTTGTTTCTTTCAGGTAGTTTCGTTTGCCGCAACAGGATTGCGACTATGCGGACGAAGCATCCAGCAGATACGGCTGCAGGTCAATGACTATGCTATTTTAGCTGCGTTGGTGAGTGGCATTCGGGATCTTGACGCCGGAACAGAGAGGCTGAGAGACTGACCATCCATTAGGCTTTGACTGTCGCTAGTATCGGTGTTTTGGGCGCATGTGAGTGGAGCAAAAATTCACCGAAGGCTGTATGCGAGATCTAGAGTTGATGTAAAGCAGCGGTCAACCATGGAATGGGTATCAACATTGCGAAGGTGGGCTCGTAAGATTTAATCACTTTCATCAAGGCACTCCAGCCCCCGACTCAAGCAGACGGTCGTGTCAACCCCTTATAGCTACAGACCGTCATTACGGTGACCTGGGAATCGGCCATTTTCGCCATTAGGATCTCAATCCTCGACCTCTACATCAAGATTTTACACGTCCCGTGGTTCATCAAAGTCTGCTATGCCTACATCGCATTTCAGGTCGCCTTCATCCTCTCGATGTTCTTAACTACCATGCTGCTTTGCAGACCGTTCAGTTTCCAGTGGGACAAGACGATTCCAGGAGGCATCTGCGGAGACCTGTTGAGTAGCTATTCTGCTACTCACGTCATCATCTTGATCACTAATGTCATCACTGCCGTCCTTCCCATTCCCGTCCTTTGGAAATTCAACATGAATCGTCGGAAAAAGATTGGTATTTCTCTCATGTTCATGCTCGGAACTATGTACGTCTTGACCGATTTTTCAATCTGATATCCTCGCTAATTTCGTGTCACCTTCGTAGCATAATCGCATTCAACATCATCCGCCTCGCGTAGGGTGATAAAAGCAGGAGCCTAGATATCACCTACGATTATGCGATCCTCTCCTGCTTCAGCGAGCTGGAGATCCAGCTCGGTCTTATCCTTGCCTCAGTTCCCGTCATGCAACCGGTCCTGCGCAAGTACTTTGGCTCAGGCTTCTTCGGTACAATAGGTGCCAAGAAGTCATCATCCTCTCGCTTAACTTACTATATCGGGTCAACCCACTCACCTCAAAATTTTCCGCACCACTTGTTCTCCTCCTTCTCCACACTACTACTATGCCTTCCCAACCTAAAACTGCTTACTGTAAATATAATAAGCCTACCCTTACTAGCATCTAGGCGCTTTCTTGTATTAGTTTTAGCCTTTTAAAGATATAAAAGACTTTTTTTATTTTAATTCTATTAACTAAGTTAATACTTAAGTAGTTATAAAAATGTAAGAATAAGCTTTAAAAAAAAGCTTATTACATAAAAAAACTTTTAAAGCTTAATAAGTATGTAAAGTAATAATTAGTATAACACTTAAAGCAGTTTTTTTTTAAAACATATAAAGTACTTACTACTTTTAGAAAAATAACAACTATAATTTGCATTAATATAGTAAAGTAATACTTATAAAAAAATAAGTATTATATATTTAAACTACATACTAAGCTGTACTTTAAGCTTTTCTATAAGCTTAATTATTATTACTAAAGTGCTTATATAAAAACTTAAGATAATAATAACTTTAAATATGTTTACTTTTTTAATAAATTAACTTTTAAAGTAAGACTTATCTTTACTACTTAATACTATAACGTACTTCATGGGCGAGTTGCTCACACACCTGAGTCGCTTACTTTTGCTAAGACCCTACTAAACTACTCTTCCTACACTAATGCATTCCCCACAACACTACTTAGACGCGCTAAAAGAA